TCTTGAATCTCCAGCAACCTGAAAAGCTGCACAACGTCATTACGAAACTTTGCGGTGCAAGACTGGACACATGCAGCATGGAGCAGGCAATTAAACGCGACACGTAACATACCAGAGCATGCACCCAATACAGCTTGGAAAACAGCGTAAGCTTACCCTTTCCGCACACATCCCGTACAGCATGTCGTCACAACTGTCGCAGGCACAACTGACCAACGGGAACACAAATCGAAGGAGAGTTGAAACTTCTGTTCAACACTGCATCTTCCAGCGGCTGTGTCGTCAATAGAATCTGCTCATGTAGATGGCATTGGGTGCCAAAGTTTTGGTCACACCAAGTCTTCAGCTGCTTGTTGATCCATGTTGCGGGGTAGCCCCCCTGTATTTCCAGCAGTTTGCAAAACCCATTGAGCGAGTGCATCATACCCCGCTTGTCGCTCGCAAGGTGGCGACAGCGTGCAAAGCCTCCCTTAGCAATAGCCTCAAACACATGCGGGGGCCCATAGGAGGACCAAGGGACCACAGCCTGTTGGCATCTCTTGCCATAGAGCAGCATCTCTCCCAGAGTTTTGTTGTGCGCATGCCAATGTAGTTGACCCTCACGTACATGGACGTCCATTCCCACTGTAGGGTTGACACTATCATCTTTGAGCTTCAAATGGTTTGGGTATGTGAGGTTGAGGATGAAATCGGAAACAGCTCGTGCCCACACTTCACCTTTGGTTAGAGGAAATACCAACAGCACGCGCACATCGAACCTGGCGACACGGAATGCGATGTCCGGGAACCGCTGTAAGAGCTGAAGCCGGTAAGATGAGAGCATCATCTTGATCTCATGGGCCACCAGAACCATCCTGAAGATAGATCCTCCCGCTCCAATTCCCATCATAACGCCTGCTTGTTGCCAACCTTTAGCTTGACCAAAAACAAACTGCATGTTGTCAAACAAGAAGATTAACATAGGCGCAACCTCTTCAATGGATACTACCACCCACGATTTTCCCGACTGCTTGGACCACGAGGCGAACTTGTTGGATCCAAGAATCCCAGAAGTGACGCAAGGGTTAACCCATGCTTTTGTAAGGCCCATTTCATGTAAGAAACCCATGATGAAATGCCAT